CCTTACTGACATAAATGAACATTTGCATGATATTCTAATTTTTCGAGTTTCACCTGTATTAAAGGACTTATGGTTTTATCATAACCCTCCACTAAGGAAAGTTCAACAGTGTTAAATACAGGGTAGATGCAATCAACTAACTCCTTTGTGTGGTTTTTCTTCCTTATATTTTCAGTTGTTGCTTTATAGTGAATACAAACAGGAATATCTTAGCTTATACATTCTGTGAACTTGTTAGCAAGCTTGATTAAAAACACATCTTACCATTCGATTGATACGGACAAAGTCTTCAGGTTTCTTGGCCCAAGGGGGAAGCTCAACATCATTCACAATAGTCTCATCTTCCCTGGCTCCAAGATTATATCCATTACTGTTGACAAACATTTCCGGTAGGTAGTAAAACTCTGGAATTAGTTCCTGTTTGTGGAAGAAACAAACATTATTTATTGTGCAACATCTGCAGTTTTTGCATAGACAAAAATTATTCAGAAAGTCTTATTATATTGTTGCATTTAATTTTGAGTATCAACTTTCTTATTACATTACATTTTTAAAACATCTAAGTAATTTCTGTATTAATAAACAAAGCACTATATTCCAGTCTACCAGAGAGACAATCATTTAGACATCCTCACTAAAATAAATAGTATAAAAAGTTATATCTTCGGGTTACAATATTTGCTTTTATCCTATGGTCATGGGCATCTGGGTGGGGTGCGTGATAAGTAATGTGTTATAACATTGCAGTGCAAATTCCAGCCCTGTTGTATGTGTGTCATAACATTAAATGCAAGTACAGGAGATTCTAACATCATAACATTTTATCATACCATTCTGAAAAAAAATTCAGCTTGCTGTGGATGGCCCTGCCTGTGGTAAACTCGTGCTTTCTCAAATGCCTTATATTGTATTTGATTGGCTTAGCCTTGAAGCTAACATTTAGGGAGACAAACTAGGTTTAAGGTACATTTTTGCCATTTGAAGAAGCAAACTCCTTTGGCAATACACAAGGATTCTACCTAACATCATCACCCTTATCTCTAGTCATATCCGAATGGATCCCAGACTTCTTCAGATACTTTAATCCATACTAGGAATTGGAGAACTGATTTTGATTCAAAGGCTGGATGACTTTGAGATACAACTTTATGAAGAGGCAGTCACTCTTTAATGCCCTGTATGGATTGAAGTTCCCCCCAAAATTCCTGTGTGATTACACTACTGTTCTCCCTACAGACACCTCTTATGGGAAAAGGCAGCCTATATAACCTGAAGCAATAGCTTGCCAACTTTTTCCACACATGAAAATCTCTCATGTAAGAGCAGTTGAAAGACATTCTCCCTCTGACTCTTTCTGCATGGAGAATCTTCCAGGTGAATATAATGTGGTAGGGCATTACTTATTCAAGGGAATAGGTCACCTAAAAGTGAAGGAGGAATGTATGTGAAAAAAGTGTATATCCAGAAATTTGAGCATGAAAATCTATTTGAGAGCATTTGTGTAATAATACAAAGAAGGGAAAACAACAAGGACACTATATGGGGCCGTACTATAGACCACCAAAGATCTGATTATGTCATTCTGGATCAGATTACAAACTTTCAGGAGGAAAGACATCACAATAATGGTAAAATCTAATAAAATTTATCCAGACATCTGTTACAAAACCAACTCAACCACTCCCAAATGTTTTTCAGTGGTCTTGTTGACTGTTTTATCTTCCAGAAGGTTGAAGAAGAGAAAAGGGGATTGGCTCTCATTGATCTGATTCTAAACAATGGAAAAGAACTGGTTCCAAGGTAAAAGTAGTAGGAATCTTAGGAGGAAGTGACCATGTAATACTGGGGTTCGTGATACTACAAGAGAAATTGAAACACTATCAAATAGCACACTAGGGTTCAGGAGATCCAATTACGGCAGTCTTAGAGAATTAGTAGGCAAGATGTCATGGACAGAAATTCTCAGTGTCCAATGGTGTGCAGGAGAGTTGGGAAGCTCTCAAAATAGATCCTGGAAGTATAATTACATACCTTTCCAATGGAGGAAAAATGAAGGGAACGCAGCTTAGGTAATGTGTGGACACATAGTGAGTTTTTGACTAAGCTAGGAGTTTAAAAGAACCTGCATAGGAATGGAAGTTGAGTATAATGATCAAGAATGTGCTTCAGTAAGTATCTAATAACTACTGAAAGTATGTCAGAAAAACTGAGGTGCAAAAGAAACTTGGGCTTGCAAGGAAAGCTAAAATCAGTAAAAGTATGCTTTGTTTTGGTTTTTTTGGTTATGTCAGTGGTAAGAGGAAGAGGATCTGGCTTTGGAGAAGACTGTAGGATAATATCAGGTACTGGAGAGAAGGTCAGCAGCAGCAACTCCAAACCTGTCAGAATAGACTTTTCAGTGAATCCCTGTCAGAATCTGGAATCCAAAATACATTCCACTTTGAACTCTTTGCCCGTTCACAACACATGGTTGTCCAGTGGAGTCCTTGAGGTTCTCTGAGAGCTATAGCACTTCCTCACATACAACCTAAAGTATGGATCTGGTAT